TGAGAATGAGAGAAAGAGAGAAAGGGAGATGCGCGAGAGCGGGGCAAACGACAGAGGGACATTTAGAGACTGATGGCACAAACCTTTTAGGCAAACTAATGCATTGAACCTGTAACATCACAGAGGCTACTCCAACAGCTCGATCTGTTCCGTCCCGCACCCCTAATACCCTCGATGCTCGTATACAAGCGTGTACGTGCCAGCGGATTCATTATGGGAAATGCATCGCGTCGAGTCGCACGAGTCGCTGTCTCTGTCTCTGTGTACACGAATACCCGATGATAACCAGCAACGTGCATCGTCGATTTTTTTTTTTTTTTTTTTTTGTTGAAGACTACCTCCGCAAGAAAACTACCAACTGCGAGTTTGTCGAGAAGATGAAGATACGCCAATTAACAACGATAACTTTTCTGTCTCTTATTTCAACAATTATAAAGATTCCGTAAAAATTCAAGAAATCAAATAAAATAATCATTAATAAGTTGATGAAAATTATAACTTAAGGTATTATAAAAAATATATAAATATTATATTTATTATATATAATATATTTTTTTTCTCTTTCTTTTTTGCCGTTTCTTATTTGTATTTTTATTTTGTACTTGCTTATTTAATTTAATTAAATCTTCTTATATGAATCAATTTAGCTATTTTTCTGCGGAAAATCATATAAAATTTTTTTAAATTCCTTTACAAAATTTTTAACTAAATTTCTACAAAAGATTCATATAAATATATACAATATATATATGAATCTTTATCTCTAAAATTAATTACTGTTAATTACTGTTGTGAGCTATCTTTTTATCGAATTTTTCTGAGAAAAATTGCCTCTAGATAATTCCAATAATTTGACAGAAAAAATAAATATAAAATAATAAATATTATATATATTTATTATTTTATATTTTACTCAGAAAACTTCGATAAAAGCATAGTTCACGACAATAATTAATGTAACACAGATTAGGCAATTCTAGACTAATCTTCATGCTAGTAAATCGATAACGAAACTCCACTTGTCAGACAATTTTAAAGGCAATTTAATTTTGGACAAGAATCTAATCTAAGTTTTAATTTAACCAAGACATTTATTATATCGAAGCTCGCGATAGTGTTAAATTTAGATACTAATCTCCTACGTTTTTCTACCGTATAACTCAACGTATAAATTTTCAACGCTACACGCATTTATCCACATCGCGTGTCCGTGTAACTCACTCGTCAGAGTTCGGATACGCGCGCAGGACGCGTATCTTTTATTTATGTTATTGTGTGTTTTCGCTTAACGTTTCCACGAGTATCCGAGCGTACACGCGGACGGAAGCGAGCGTGTGCCGGCGGGATTCATTATGGCAAATGTACCGAGAGTTCGACCCCCGTATGCGAGCGCGCGCTTATGCACGCTTGCATACTGATACGCGCGCGGGAATGCGCGCGTGCAATTACCTACGAGCTTCCCCGTCTCCGCTCTTTCTCCGCGCACCCTCCTGCACCCTCCGCGCGGCGATTGTACACATAATTACCGCGCGGGAAGGCGCAATTATTAATTTAGATATTACTCCACAGACCTATATGCCGTGGCCAGTTCCTTTGCGGGACATTCCGCGGCGCGGTGAAGGTTTCCGTCTCCTCGACCGGTCGGCTTTGGAAAGCGAAAAAAAGCCTGGAAAAATGATTTAATGGCGCATTCGCTTTACGATCGAAAGATTCCTGAAAGAACAGATCGCGATACTCAACATAGAATCAATATACAGATTTAGCAATCTAGAAGCTAGGATTCCTGCTACGAGCTTCTTGTTAAGCGAATTGTTTTAAAAATCGGATTAAGAGCAACAAGAGAAATTTATTATTAATTTTAAACTCGTAACGGTAAAAGGCAATACGGTTAATTGCACCGAATAATTCCTGGTTTCTCGACTTTCTAGTTTACTTAAACACTTTACGTGGACCGCTCTGTATAGGACGATCACGATTGGCGAATCGATTTGTGCCTCGGGCACACCGTCCCGCCGCCTCCGCGCACGAAGCTCCATTTATTATTCTATTAAATTCGTAGTTTCCCGTCGGGGGTCCACCCCTGCCTAGAGCTATCTCTCACTCACGACTTAATGCGATATTCATACCGAGGCGAGCGAATGGACCACGGCTGGGGTCCGGTCCATATGCCCCGGTCCGTAATTAAGTCGGACACCGTGCGGATCCTCTCCCGCGCGCTTTTTCTTATCCCCGGGGCGGAAAGTGGTGGCCTTTACCTATGGCGACTGAGTAGTTGCAACGAAGTTATAATAATTCGTCGACGGCCGATCTTTCTTATCGCTTTCTTACCGCGCCACCGCGTCGACACCTGCAATTATTTTAATGGTCGTTCGTACGATGACAGCGCGCGCTACTGTAATTGCCACGTGCGCCGCTGGGATTGCGTTAACTTAATGTGTAACAAATAAATAATCGCATTTCACCTAGAGCGATAAGTAACGGAGCCCGACATGGAATCTGGCAGGATTCGCGTTTCGCGTATTTCATGAGATCTCAAGAGAAAAGAACTCGAGAGAAGAACTCTTCTCTCCTGAAGACAAAGGCGCATCGTCAAAAAATTTATTTATATTAATAAGATGACTACTTTACAACGTTTCTTCTTAGCTATCGACACGTTCGGGTGCGTTGAAGAATCAAGATTTAAATTCAAAATTTCCTTTTTCACAATTAACATGAATTATTCGGCAATACGGGTAACATCTCGCGGACATCCCAAAGTTTACTTTCGGCGGTTCTGGAGCGCTATCGAAGAGATTCGCGCGCGAGTGAAGTCACGCGCGCTCGTCGGCAGCTACTAATGCTGCAGCAGATGTGCCGCTTGGAGAACAAACACGCGTGCTATGCTGAATGCACGTTGAAAGGGCGACAGCTTGAGGGACGACGGAGGAGACGCGGCAGCGTCCGTTGCACGCTGATAACACAATTAGCTTGTCTCGTCATGCGCGACCTCCGATAAGGGCCAACTGTACCCCGCTCCCGGTAACCCCTATCCACCTTCTTCGTCGTCCCACATCTCCCACCGGCATCGTACAACCGGCAGGATTGTAGCCGGGCGGATCGTCCGCGTCAGGCAGGATCAGGCAGAGAACGAGAAGATCCCCCCGGGACCACGCGCGCCGTTTCAGGGACGCGCGATAAGGGCGTGGGCTTAACCCTCTCTCGGACGCGAGGGGCTACCCCGCGACGTTAATACCTTCCGGCAGGTTTTCCTTGGTTGATTTATTCCGGGAAGGGGGCCCAAAGTCGCGCGCATAGACGGATTTGAGAAAGGGGCACGGGACCACGTGTATCTTGAAAGCGGAATACGAAACTAGAGATTACGGATCTCACATTTCTCATTTCTTCGGATGAGTATTTAAATACAGAGAATACGGAGATGCGTGTGTGTGTGTGTGTGTGTAGGCGTCGCGTCTACTGCTACGCAGCATCCAAACACCGCCAGTATTACTTGTTTTCTATCGAATCTCAGTTTTATCTGTATTTAAACACAATTTCAGAAAATATAAAGATTTCTTTTACCCTTGAGTAAAATTAATTTATCTCATATATTAGATCAAGTCGGACAATAATGACGGAGAAAAAAATTTACGCTGATTCCGGAAAAACAATTTCTATAGATTTGGCTATATGCAACAATAAATTCAGAAATAGACACGTGCGCTTTTTACTACGTTTTATACATCTTCCTGTCCGGATTTTAAAATAGATAATTATTTTTATATCAGGGTCCATTTATAAATTTCCGGTTCCGAGAGGAAACCACGTCATTGTCGTGTCCCTACACATCCACGTGTCTGATTTTTCTGTATTTGGTATTGCACACGTGCATGAGCCAGCGACGCATCATGCATACGTCACGATCGTAGTCTTTTTCGCATGGATATTCGTATTTATGGGGATGGAGGGTCGACCCTTCAAGGGAGATACTTTAACGAATCGCATATCCGATGCCGTAAGCGGCATTAGTGGGAGGAGCCTGGGAAAAAACACCGCTGCAAGAACCCACATTTTAATTGAATTTAGACAATTAATATAAATGAAGTACGACTACGATTCAATATTAATTCTATAGTTTACTCTCCTCTTAAACTCTTCATTCGTTTATTCATTCTTTTTTTTTTTTAGATGATGCATGAAGGGAA